AAGGGCATGACACCTAACGGGCTGCCGTCCCAGCACCTCCCAGACAGCCTCCCGCCCCACAGCCCCCCGAGGAGTTTTATGAATGCGAAGATGGTGGAGACATAAAATAAACACTTGGGTTTTAACCACAGCCGTGCTCCAGTCCGGGAGCTCCGGGCCGGGCCGGGCCTCTCATAAGCCCCGCCCTCACCTGCCAGCCCCAAGGCCAGGGCTCGCCCTCCTGCCGCCTGGATGGGGGTGTCTGGGATGGTTGTGTGATCAGCCACCTTCTCCCCCCTCGCCCTGCCCCAGCCCTTCAGCCCCTGCTGGAGCCCAGCAGGTGAGGCCGTGGGGACCACGGGGCCCATGAGGAGAATGTCTTCAGCAGCCGTAGGCTGGGGAGCCAAGCGGATATTGATTTGTTCTACGGGAGCAAAGGGACCCGTTAAACGTGGGCTGTTAAATTGCCTTGCCTGAAGCCAGCCATCTCTGCAGGCGGGCTGGCGGACAGGCGGTAGTTGGACCAGCCAGTGGCTAGCGCCCTGGTGGGGGTGGCCTTAGACACCCTGGCTCTGGCGTACCAGCCCAGGGCCCGAGGCAGCCTGGCTTGCACCTGTGCTGCTCTGGTGCCCACAGGCCCCTGAGCTCCAGCCACACTCGTCTTCTTGGCATCCTCTGAGCAAACCTTGCCTCCACGCCTTTGCTCATGCAGACCCCTCCCCTTCACCTCTTTCTCCATCTCTTGAAATCCTCCTCAGCTTTCCAGATCGTGTGTAAATGGCACCTCCTCCACGAAGTCTTCCAGATCTTCCTCTCCCTATCCCTAACCCCCTGAGAGAAATGGGCTTTCCTCCCTCAAGCCCCAAAGCCCCCAGGCTCTGCCTGTCTTCTGACTCCAGTCATCTCTGCTACACTAACCAGGAGTTGTGGGCCCACTGAAGGGGGGCACGTGTGCTTCACCCCCTCACCCCGACACACAGGTGAGGCCTGGGAGTCCAGGCCCCCAGGTGACAGGAACTCCTCAGCTGGGGAGGACAGGGCAGGAGAGTATTAGCTGAGCTACGGCCTGATGGCCATGGGGTTGGGGCCACCTGACACCTGGCCTGGACTGCAGTCCCTGGTCCCTGTGACAGATGTCAAGAACTGATCAGTCTTGAATTGTCCCCTCTCCCTGCTGTGTGACGCCCTGTTCGGCCACTCCAATGGCTCAGAGTCAACTATGCACTCAGCCAGAGGCCACCTCCACCCCTGGGATGCCCGTCATGGACTTGGAGCCAGGCAGTGTGCGGCTCGAATCCCCTCTCTGCCACTCGTGGCTCTGTAACCTTGGGCCAGTCGCTTCTCTCTCTGGGCTTCAGTCTCCTCATCAATAAAACAGAAATGCTGGGCCCTACCCCTCAGAATGGTTGTGAGAATTAACTCCAGTGGCTGCCTGGAGTCACACAGCAAGAGGGTAGAAAAGATGCCGGGGTTCCTGCCTCCCAGCCCCGAAATCCCCCTACCCCACCCACCCTCTGTTAGGTCTGGGGTCCCAGGCTGGGGCCTGCATCCTGCTGGAGGCCTGGTCTGTATAACCTGGCAGCTGGTCTCCATGGGCTGAGGAACAACAGACCATCGGCCTGCTTCGTCCGGGCTGGGCCCCCCTTGGTTGTTCCTCTGGCCTGACCCGGCCTCCCCGGGGGGCCTTATCTGTCCCTCCCCTCCTTTCCCACCAAACTAATCTCTCCCTCTTTTCAAGAGTTCCTGTTTCCTCTCTGCCGCCTTCTTGTCTCTCTCCCCAGGCCTGTCTCTCCCGTGTCTCCGGCCCGCCTCCCACACTTGGTTCGGAAGCCTCCTCAAAGTGGCTGGCACTCTCATCCCTGGGGAGTTTCCATCTCTCGGGGCTTTCTGAGGATCACAGAGCCCGGTCTGGGACCGCCGCCCCCTTAGGAAAGGGGGAGATGGAACCCAGCTGGGTCAGGATCCTGCTGGTGACAAGCACGCCGACACCCACACATCAGTACCTGGGTGTTTGAACATCTTGGCATTGGCTGGTGGCCCAGGGGCCTCTAATGGCTTCCGAGGCAATGGGTTGAGGATTTTTACTCCAAAAGTCCAAGGTACCAGGATTTTTTTTTTCTTTGGTGAGATAGATCAGCCCTGAGCTAACATCCATGCCAAATCCTCCTCTTTTTGCAGAGGAAGACTGGCCCTGGGCTAACATCCGTGCCGATCTTGCTCCAATTTATGTGGGACATGGCCTCAGCACGGCCGGAGAAGGGGTGCATCGGTGCGCGCCCAGATCCAAACCCGGGCCGCTAGCAGCAGAGCGCACGCACTTAACCGCCGCGCCACGGGACCGGCCCCGGTACCAGGATTTTATGGTTCTAAATCTCTGAACACACTGAGGTCCTGAGACTCTAGAGTGTGGGGTTCCGGGATTCACACTGGGGGAGCCCCCCACCCCCCTCACCCGAGCGGGGGCTCAGCCTGGCTGCCTGCTGGGAACCCCCACCCAGCCGGGAGAGGCAGTCCGGGGACCAGTTCTCCAGGCCCCTTGGTTGCCCAGCCCCCAACCAGCCAGAAAGGCGCGGGGCTTCGCTGCAGACCCGGGCTCTGGCCCACAGCAGGTATGTAAGGCCCACCGCGTCAGGGCCCACCAGGGTCTCCCGTCTTCTGCCTTCCACGCTGCTCTCCCCGGGCCTAGCTGCAGTGAGGCCGTGTGAGAAGGGAGCAGGGTTTGGTGTTAGACACCTGGGCTCCCGGCCCCACTCTGCTGTGGACTTACCGTGAGATCTGGGACAGGTCGCCCCTCTCTGAGCCTCACTCTCCTCCCCCGTCAGAGGGAGGTGACAATATCCCCCTGGGGCCTGCTGGGGTCACGCGGGACAGTGTGTGGAAGCGCACACAGTAGGTGCACAGTAAAGGGTAGCATTATATTATTAGGACCACCCTTTCTGAGAGCCATTCTGGGTCTTTGGTCCAGTGTCTCCATCTGCTTGTCCTGGCTGCTTTAAAGGTTCCACGGGCTGTAGGGAGCCCGAGGAGGGAGAGCTCCCTTCCACCCAGGGCACTAGGGAAGGCTCTGTGGAGACGGCTGTGAAGGCTGAGGGGGAACAACGGGGAAAATGAGATTCCAGGCCTGCGGAAGAACAGCAGATGCCCAGAGGCAGGCCTAGCAGTCAGACTTCAGTATCCACGAGTGGAGGAGTGGTCTGCTTGTGGCGGGAGAGGAGGGAAGCCCAGGGAGTTGCAGGAGATGTGTCTGGAAGAGCCACCGGGGACCTGGGTGAGGGGCCTTGTATGCCAGGCCAGGGAGCTGGCGGTGGGTTGTGTGGGCCATGGGAGCCAATGAAGGCTGTGCAGCAGCGACAGCCCTGGGCCTGGGAGAGAGCACACTCCAGGGGCTTGTTCAATGGAGGCTGAGTTTTCTGCAGAGATGCTGGCAGGAGCGACGCCCTGGGAACCCCTCAACCCCACCACCAGCCTTCAGCCCCTTATCAACTCTGTGACCACAGGAAAGGCCCTTCCCATCTTGGAATTTCCTCATCTGCTAAACAGATTGAGAGACCAGAAGACTTATCTTGAGGTTCCTTCCAGCCTGTGATTCTGTGACTCTGGCCACTGTGCTGTAAGCTTTCAGGCAGGGACTTGGAGGACAGCCACACAGCCCTCCCTCTTCCCACCCGGTGATGGGTCCAGCCTCTAGGGGTACGTCCACGCCATCCCACCCCCAGGTGCCTGCTTCACGTCACCAAATCCCACCAAATCGAGGCTCTGCCCCAGTGTCCCCAGCTGGCTCTGGGCAAGGGAGTGCCCTCCCTCAGCGTTTGCGTCTCCTCTCACACACACAGAAATTCAGGTTACAACATTCTCTTGCATCCTGGGTCTGGTGTGGTCACCCCACACCAGAGCAAGATACAGATGATTAATATTAATAACTGCTTCCACTTTGGGGGACTAAAAGGGGGCCAGAGGCCGAGGATACCCCTTCACTTGTTCCTGAGTGCCGCCCACACGCCAGGAAAGGATGCTGAGGCTCAGAGAGGGACAGTGCTGTGCACACTGAGAGCCTGCCCCCTCGAGACCCTGTCTACACGTGGCAATAGCTGGGACCCCCGGCTTTCTCCCATCCCCTGGCTGTTCCTTCTCAGCCTCTGCCTCTCTTCCTCTTCGTCTCCCTGTGGAGGTCAGGCCTTGGTGCCCTTTGCTTTTCTGTCCCACTCCTTAGTGACAATGCCTAAATGTGCATCGCAGCCCCGGCCTCTCCCCTGAACTCCAGACTCGACTCTCTGCCCATCTGCTCAGTATTTCCACTTGGGGCGAACTGAGATCACAATCCCCATGTGTCCCATCTGAACCCCAGCCCTCTCCCCGCCCCATCTCAGGGCTTCCAGGCGCTCGGCCAAGTCCCTTGCAGTCTTTTCTGCTCCTCCTTGCCCTCACCCCCACCTCCATAAAGAGGACAAACCCTGATGGCTCCACCTTCAAACCCAACAGGAACCCAACCCCTTCTCACCACGCCCACTGCAGCCTGCCTGCTCCGGGCACAAGGCTGGCGGCCTTTCCCAACCACCAACCTTATTCTCCACTGTGCCCATTTTACAAATGGGGAAACTGAGGCTTAGGGAGGGGAAATGCCTGCCCCATAGTCACACAGAAAACCCACCAGGGCTGGTGGAGCCTGGGTCTACCACCTCCTCCCTGAGGTCTGCGTACCCAGCTCAGGGGCAGGTTTTCTCTGGAAGCCAGCTTAGCGGGTCTGACGACACCACTGGGCTATGCACGCCTGCCTGTGTGTCCCTGAGGAACGAAGAATCTGCCAGCTGGGTTTATGTTTCAAGACGTCTGTCCTCGCCCTTGACCAAGAGATCATACAGGGAGATGGGGCCAGAGCCGGGTGGGGGGTGGGGGGAGACATCAATCGGAAGCCGCCATCCTGGAAACCCGAGAGTTGGCCCGCCCGCCCGGGATCTCCCAGAAACTGCAGGGCGGGCCAGGGTTCGCTCAGCATTTATTTCACACAGCTGGTTTTAAAAAGCTTGTTTAAAATATAGATCATTATATATATATATATTTATATATATAAAATATATAAAGAGGAATTGAGGCAAGCCACCCCAAACACAAAGCTATGTTTTATAAATATTTCTGTAGCTCCCACATCCCAGAGGAAGAAAAAAACAAAACAAAAAAACATTTACAACCCAAGCTAGTGGTTCCATGTGGCGGGCCCAGCAGGCCCGGACCCTGGGGTGGGCCGGGGGTCTTGAGGGCTAGGCCTGCAGAACATTCTGAGGAGGGCAGGCGGACCGCCCTTCCCGGGAGGCCGGTGTCTCTGGCTGTGAAAGGTCGAGTCCACACCAGTCTTGCCAAACCCATGTCCCCAGCTCCTTAGACCAGGCTGGAAGCAGCAAATGGGCACTCCAGGGGCTCAGGCTGCCAGGTTATTTTTAATCTTGTCGGTGTCCTTTGATGTCCCGGCCCTCACTCCAGGGCGGCCAGGCCTCTGCTCCTGGTGCCTTCCAAGCGGAGGCAAAGCACAGGCCACCTCCCACGCCTGGCATCTGGAATTCACGAGCAAAAACCCACGGGCGTCTCCAGGCCCCGGGCCGGCCTCCGAGGGTCCCCAGGAGCCCGTCTGAGCCCCCGGGCAGGCCTCATTTGCACACGTAGCGCTCCACAGTGCGCTCACACCGGCGACAGGTGACGTAGCAGCACCAGTGGTACTTGCAGTGGCACCGCTCGACCACGCGGTCCGTGTAGGGGTTGTAGCCGCGTCCACAGCACATGAGGTCGCAGCTGTCACTGCCGTGGGACGTCTTATTGCACTGCCTGCAGGGGAGGGGAGGTCAGTGAGTGCTCGGTCACCCCAGCCCCACACCCAGCCAGACAGCCCCCCACCCCCACGGCTGCACTCAGCCCCTTGGGAGGTGTCGGGGTCTTTGCAGAATTCTAAATACCCCTCTCCCCCGAGGGCACTTCACTCAGCCCCGTATTTCTAACACGCATTTGTCAAAATGATGGGGTGTTTTGTTTTCTTGAAGATGTCTTTTTTCTGTTTCTTCTACTTCTAAATACTCAAAAGAGCCTCAAACCACTCTAAAAGTCCTATCTTCATATTCACTCTCACCCACAAATGTGAGATCGTTTTTACTTTTAGAATCCAAGGATGAATCCTGGAACAGACAAACGGCATTGCCTGTGAGACAGAGTGGGTGTCTGGCACTCTGTGTGATGAGAGGGAGGGTCTGTCACCCATCTGTCCCCACGGGCCAGGCACCTCCCTCCAGTATTTTATCTTATTGGAGGCAGTGTCCTCGGGGCAGTGAAATTATTACACCCATTTTATAGGTGGTAACAGGCTCAGAGAAGGGCAGAGGTCTCCTTGAGGTCTCAGGGGAGGCTGTGGATGAGCAGGGCTTAAGCTTGGAGTCCTGAAACCAAGTCCAGTGCGAGCTCTCCCTCCCTAAAGGGTAGAGAACCCAGGGGCTGCCCGGGGCTGCATTGCTTCCTGAATCCCCCGCCCGTGGGGAAGAAGACATGGCAGGTCCCTCTAAGACCCACATATCCTTCTGTCGCCATCGGTTCCTCTGTCCAGAGGAGAAACATCTGTGAGGCTGGCAGTCCCTCCACCCAGGCTCAGGCTGGACAGGGATGTTATGAGGGGACGCAGCTCGGTCCCCACAGCCACATGGGCCAAGGAGTCCCAGAATGTCCGAGATGGGCAAGCCCTAGAGATGACCAAATCCAACTCTCATATTTCCTGATGGGGACACTAAGGCACAGAATGGGGAGGGGACTTGCACAAGGTCACATGGGGTAAGAACTCCTGTGAGAATTCAGGAAGGATTCCTGGAGGAGGAGGGGTCACCTAGGCCATTTCATGGAAGATGAACACGAATCTAAGATGGAGAGGAGAGCAAAGAATGTTGGGGGCAAAGAGAACAAACAGCCTGACCTGACCTAATCGAAGAGGAGTGGGAGAACAGATGGAAGGGTAGGGCTGGAGGCAAGGAGGCCAGGGAGGAGGCTGGGCAGCCACTGAGTAAGAGAGGCCAAGGGCTGAGCTGGGAAGGGGCCATGGGGTGAGAAGGAGGAGAGTGCCTGGAGGCAGAGTCGGGAGGTAACAGTGACCTGCATGTGGAGGCTGCAAGCAGTTCTGGGCAGGAGGCAGGAGGGAACAGCAGGAAGGACACAGCACAGAGCCAGACAGAGCTGGGTTCAAACCCCCGCTCTGCTGCTTACTGGCTGTGTGACTGAAGGCAAGTCACTTAACCTTTCTGGGCTTTGTTTAGTCACTCAACGCCATTAGTCCCCCTCAGCCTTATCCTGAAGGTCTCTGGAGACTCCTCTAGGAAAGGGTGGTAGGAAGGAAGCCGAGTTCCATTTTTCTTTCTGGATCCCTGACATGCAATGTCTGAAGACCTGGTCTCCAACCTCAGAGGCAGACAAGGCCTGTGATGGTGCCTGTGGGGGGAGGTGGGAGGGTGGGGCCTGGAGAAAGGGCCAGGGCCCAGGGGAGGGCTGCTGGCTCCCAGGGCACGGCGGCACAGGCCGTCGGAGGGCAGGTTTCAGGGGTGCAGGGGCCTCTGGATGAAACACGACAGAGGGTTGGGGTTTGGAATACTGACTGCTGACGAGGCCTCAGTCCTCAGGCTGGATGTGAGGAGGGCATCTTCCCCAGCTGGGGGTCAGCCTCTAGACAGGGACCACCAGTCAACAAAGCCATTTACATCCAACCCCCTGCACCCCCAATCCCCTAACCTAGGAAAGCTCACATGTCCCCTCCTCCAGGAAGCCTTCCTTGATGTCCAGGCTGGGTCAGGGCCCCTCTGGGTCCCCCTACCCCTGGGCTTGCCTCTCTCACAATCTGAGTACCTGACATCTCTCCCCATCCCAGGCACCTGCCAGCGCTCACGGAATGGGTGCGAGAAGTGACTGTGGTTGTAAGCTACTGAGACATGGGGGCTGTTCGTTACTGCAGAAAAAGCTGACCAGTACAGATGTCCGCAAAGGCATCCCCAGAGGATGGCTGAGAGCTGAGCATGGCAGGACACCTGGTGGCGGAGCGTTCTGAGAAAGCAAGGAGGCGGATGGTGCCATGGGATGGGCCTCCTCATCCACAGTGTGGGGGCAAGTCCTGGGGGCAGAGTGGGGGCAGCTGGGGAGCAGAGGCCTGGCAGCCTCTGGGGGGATGGCGGGGGATGGGGAGACTGCCAGTAATGAGCCCTTCCCGTGGACTGACTGCTCGGCACAGAGGAGGTCTCTGCGAGCGTAGAGACGGCTCGGCTCCCTAGCCCTCTCAGGTGTGTGGTATCGTCCCCAACGTCCCCACTGCATGGAGGATGGGATGAGCCTCAGAGAAGTGAAGGGATCTGCTCAGGGTCCTCAGGAAGCTGCAGCATCGGGGGGGAACTGTCCTTCCCCGACACACACACAGCCCCCCATGGATCCAGGGAGACCCTCTCCTTGCTCTGGGGTCCTCGGTGGGCTTCGCCCCGCCCCTCTGGGTTCTAGAATCCTCCTCCCCTCAGCCCATCCTCAGCACGCCCATCCTGGCTGCCTCAGCCCAGACTCTCGCTCCTTCCCGTCTCCCTGGCCTGAGCTGGTTCCATCTTCACTCTGCCTGACCCCCTCAATCTGGCCTCCAGATGGGAGCCTGGGCCTCCTCACAGAGCCTGCTGCCCTGGCCTGCGAGGATGGGGCCCCCCAAATCAGACCCCCTCTCCTGGAGACAGGAACGTGGGTTGTGGAGGAAGCGAATGCTGGCCAGGCACCAACTATGTGCCAGACACGTTCTCAGACACCCTTGCTCTGGGTTCAATATTCTTTTAACCCCACAGAAGACTAGTTTTGTGGAATGCTATTAGGGGCTCCCTAATAAAAGAGTTCCACAGCCAAACACCTCTGGGAAACACCGGCTTAGACAGACCCTTTACTGCAGGATTCCTCCCAGCCTTAATATGTTCTCGTGCCTTGCGAATCACCAAAGTGAATTTCCCAAACGTATCTGATTGCAGAACTGTTTCTAATATAGCACTGCATGACTGGCTCCTTCCAGAACCACCTCTGGGAAATGCTGCTCCCCTGCATCCTCACCAGCCCTGCCCGGCACACAGTAGGTCTGCACTCACCACTGGCTCCCTCACTCTCTCCTGTCCTGATGAGGTGATGCAGCCAAGGGTAGGGACCCCAACCCTGGCTCTGAAACTGGGGACCAGGGGGAGAGAGCTGGGGCCCCCGTGAGTGCCTGCATGTTGGGGGACATGGGAGCACCGTCCCCCCAAAGAATGCAGGCAGACCTTGCCCTCTTGCTGCCCCTCTGGGAAGCAGCTGCCCTGGTTCTGCCTCCACTCTGTGCAGACCTCCTGTGTGGCCAGGGGCTGGCTGCTGCCCCCACCACCCCTGGTGCCTCAGTTCCTCATCTGTCCAACAGGCAGGCTGTGACATTTATCCATCACTTATTCACCTGACAAACATTTACCCAGGACCTAGTGTATGCCGGGCAGCCTCTTCCCTCGCCCCCGTCTCCCAGTATAGTCGTTGTCTCTTCCCGTCTATCTCCCCCACTAGGGAGAAGGTGGGGCATGGGCCTCCCACCAGCCTCCATCCCAGAGGGGACCCTTTCTGGGCAAGGTGGGCAACAGCCACTCCCAGAAGCTCTGCAGGGGCCCCTTGGGTCCTGGCACCTCCACTGGGCATTCCTGGGGACACCGCCCTGGACTGGGCAGGGACACCATCCCCAAATGCCAACCGAGGCCCCCCTGTGCGCCTGGCCCTGAGCTGGAGTGGGCACGTACGACGCAACTGACCCCTTCCTGCCGGGGGGTGTAAGGACGCCCTTACCTGTCCTGTGTCCCGTGGGAGCCCACCTTCTCGTTCTTCATGCAGAAGTCGGGGGAGCTCTGCAGGTAGACGAGCTCCGAGTCCTTCACAGGCCGGATGTCCAGGTCCTTGGGCACCAGGTGCTTGCGGGTGCCCATGGGGCGGTGCACGACTTTGGTGGCCGACAGGTAGCGGGTCTTGAGGTCAGCGGCCACATCCCGAAGCTCCTGCAGCCCCTTCCAGCAGGTGCGGATGGAGCAGGAGCCAGAGACCCCGTGGCACTTACACTTCATTTCCAGAGAGGCGCGCAGAGCCTGTGGACAGGGGAGGGCGTCGGGCTGGGCGGCCAGGGCCCGCTCCTCAGCCTGCCCGGGACCCTGCCCCACCCTCCTCGGGCCAGGTGCTCTCAGGGGATCATCGCCTGCTCAGGGCCTCAAGGGACGGGGTTTTTTGCTCTAAAGCTGGGGGGTGTTTTAGCTCCTCCTCCAACCTGGGGGGCAGCTGGGAGGGGCAGAAAGACCAGCATGTGCAGGGACAAAGGATACCATTTATACACCTACTGTATACCAAGTGCTCTAACACACAACATGGCTTAATCATCGGGACAGCCCTACACGGGAGGCATCTTTACTTTCCCCACTGCAGAAAGAGGAAAGGAAGGCCCAGAGAGGTAAGTCTCATGCCCAAGGTTGCACAGCTAGAAAATCCTGGAGCTGGGATTTGAACCCAGGTCTGAGGGTGATTCCAAAAGCCATGGCTTTTAATTGTTCCATGTCTTTTCTCTCACACAAACCAGGGCTCACTAAATGCTTGCTGGAAAAAAAAGAAGAGAAGGAAGGGAGGGAGGGAGGAAGGGGCAGGAGGTCAGCGCACTGAGGCGCGGTCCCTGGCCTGGCTGGCCTTTCCCTCCACTGCTTGGTGACCCTGAGCAAGCCACTTCACCACTCAGCGCCTCTGTCCTCCCCTGTGCAGAGTGGGCAGTGACGGCCACCTTGCAGAGTCGTCGTAAGGATCCAATGAGATGACATATATGACAGTGTTTTGTGAACTGTAAAAGTTAAATCAATATTGGTTTTGAAAAATCAGTCTATGTAACAATTATGGCAGAGGGGGGAAGTTTGGGCTCTGGGATTGGGGAGACTAGCCCTGGCTTCAGAAGTCATTCTGTCCCACCATCTTCCCGGGGCCTCAGTTTCCCCATGTGTACCGAGGAGCCTTTCAGTTCTGCGTTTTACCCCCCACTTCTCTGCACACAGGACTCAGATCCCTCTGCCCAGGCCGGCCCTCCTGCTGCCCCGTGCAGACAGCTACAGGGGTGGATGGGTCTCCTGGGCCTACCCCCTGCATCAAAAAGATGGGGAAACTGAGGCACAGAGAGGGCAAGGACTTGCCCCAAATCCCTCAGTGATCAGTGAGGGAGCTGGTCAAGGGCTCAGGGCTTCCCCCCACCCCCCCAATGCCAGGAATTAGGGAATGAGGGAGTCCCTTTGGGCCTAAAATCCGGAATTGGCTCCACAAAGCCTGTGGAGAGCACAGGAACGAAGCGAACCCTCCTGCAGGGCACGTTCAACCTCCCAAGGGCCTCGAGGTACTTCTGAGTCATCCAGGAAAGTAAAGTATGCTTGTTCCTCAGCTCAGACGGGAGGGAGGGGCCCAGAGCTCGCTGAGGCCCTCAGTGTGTCAGCCCTAAACACATGGTGTCTGCGATGATGGCTTTTAACCTGCACAGGCCTGCGGCTTACGGGAGGGGAGGCCGCCCTCTTGCAGACTGCCCCAGGGAGAGCGGGTCCACGGCATCTGGGCTCTAGGAACAGCCTGATGTGCCCCTGAGGCTGAGGACCCTGTGTGGACTGCATTGCGGGAGGGGATGGCTGTGCCCCTGGCGGCATGAGGCTCAGGCCTGGCCGTGGGGGTCGTGGGGCTGGGTTCTTGGGCTGGGGCCAGGTGAAGGGCTCCCGCTGCATTTCCAGGGGTGAGGGGCAGGCTAGCAGGGCCGGGGGGCAGGAGTCCTGGGTCCCTGGCCAGGCTCTGCTACAGACCCACAGGGTGAACTGGCCTCAGTTTCCTCAACTGTGCAAAGATGGCCTGGACATCCTAGAATCCTTACACGAGGGAGCCCAGTGAGAGAGGAAGGCGAGGACCTGGAGTCCCATAGAGTCGGGCTCCATCACACGGTGATGGTCAAGTAGGTCAAGCTACTTAGTTTTTTCTGCCTCACTTGGTGGCTCTGCACAGCGGGCCTAATGGGCTGCAGAGAGGAGGTTGTGAGATGCCATTGCACCCCACGCTCTGCCCCTCCAGGACCCCGTTCCCCGTCTGCAGGGAGGGGTAACAGCACCTCCTCCCAGGGCTGTTCTGTGGACCACAGGAGAGCAAACTAACCAAGCACCTGCCACAGTGTCTGGCACACAGATTGGTATAAAGTTGGGTTTTTTTAATTTTTGAAAAATAAAACAGTCCATTCATTCACCTGCGCGTTCACTCACCAGACCTCCTATGGAATGAGATGAGGAATTAATGAAACGTTGATAATCTCAGAGGCTGAGGGGAAACTGTTTTGGGAGGGGGGGTGGGTTTCGGAGCTGGGAGGGGGTCCCTGTTAGAGCGAGGGAGCCGGCTCCTTAGGCCAGGGCTTTCTGCGTCCCACAGCCCCCTCCACGTCTCCTCCCACACCAGCCTCAGCGCAGAGCCCCACAGGAAGGGCCCGAGGAACATGGCCGATGGGGACTACAGCGAACCAACTCACCCCATTTTATAGACAGGAACAACTGAGGCCAGAGAGGAAGTGACTTGCCCAATGTCACACAGCAAGTTTAGCGCCAGAGCCAAGGCGGGAACTCAGAGCTCCTGACTCCTAGCTCAGTGCTCCTGCTGCTCGGCCAGCTTTCTCCAACCCAAATCCCGGTGGACCCCCTGGAGGAGCAGGAGCCAGGCAAGCCCCAAGTGGCTGGAGAGGGAAGAGCTGGGGGAGGAAGCGTCAGTGTGGGTGGATGGGGCCCATCCCCCCGCCACCCTCTCCACTGGGGCACACCGGGTGGCCCTTTTCCGCCTATTGGCACAAGCACAACCATCTGGGGTGGGTGGTTACCTGTCTCCCCACTTCACTGTTGTGTAGACGCATCAGTTTATTGGCTTGGGATCCTGTTTTTTTCACCTTCATAGGAGCATCGGAAAACTTGGCCCCCATGAGGAGCCCGTAGCTGAGGTTGTCCGCACATCCTCCCCAGCGGTTCCCGGGCCCGGGTGGCTCACCTGGCACGGGGCCGCAGGAGCAGCCGGGCAGGTCGCCGGAGGTGCAGGCCCGGGCGATGGCGTGGCTGATGGCAGCCGCCGACAGCGCATACACGAAGGCGGACTCCCGGGTCCCTGCGGGGCGGGGAGGCGCGAGGTCAGGGGAGGGATAGGACCCCGCCCAGGCCTGAGGGCCTCCTCCTGGCCCCTACCCACCTGTGGGGTCAGGCAGACGGGGAGGGTACACGTGGAGGACAGCACTAGGGCCGTGAATCTGTCACCCTCATCCTCCCACAAATACTTGTGACTTGCACACACACACACTCATGCCTGCACAGCCCCGCACACCCTCACTCACACACTCATGATCCTGTCCTTCCACCTGTCTGCCCTGCACTCAGTGTGAGGGGCTGCTTTAGAGAACTGAAGGCCCAGTGCCTGAGCTCTTCCAAGAGCTCATGACCTGATGGCAAGACGAGTGTGCAGAGAGCCTGCTGTGGGCTGAAATGTGTCCCCCAAAAAGACATGGTCAAGTCCTGACTTGGGACCTGTGAATGTGACCGTATTTAGAAATACGGTCTTGGCAGTTGTAACCGAGCTAAGATGAGGCCACACTGGACCAGGGTGGGCCCTAATCCAATGACTGGCGTCCTCATAGGAAGAGGGAATTCCAGCTACGCAGACTCACGGAGGGAGGAGGCCACGTGATGGGGGCAGAGACTGAAGGGATGCTACGAGCCAGGGAAGGCGAGGACCACCCACAGCCACTGGACGCTCAGAGGGAGCAAGGAAGAGGCCTCCTCCAGAGCCCTCAAGGGAGCAGGCTCGGCTGACGCCTCAATTTCTGACCGCTAGCCCCCAGAACTGCGAGACGACCCATTTCTGTTGTTTGAAGCCCCCGGTTTGTGATACTTTGTAACAGCAACCCCAGTAACCTCCCGCAGAGCCCAACGCGCCTCAGCTGTGCGGTGCCTTGCCCCCGGGGCCAAGCAAGTCACCTCCGCTTCTCAAGCCTCAGTTTCTTAACTGCAGAATGGGGATGACAACACCTACCTCGAAGGCTTGCTCTGTGGAGTTCAAATAATTCGGGAAGGAAGGAAGGTTTGCCAAACGTTGCACAAACATTAGCTGTTACCGTGCGGGGGAGAGATTCGATCTATTGGGCCATTTCTGCCTATCGAAAGTCTCCCTATTGTACATGGGACCCCCAAATCACCCCAGAAGCCACCTCCTCCAGGAAGTCACCCCCACAGACGTTCTCCTGTCCCTACATCACTCGGTGCCTCTCTCAGCAACTTCAGTTGGCAGGTCTACAATTACCTGCGGCACACCTGTCTGCCCCAAGGGTGGACTCCCCTCCCAAGAGCCTCCCTGACAGCACTCATTCCTTCATTCCTGCATTAGGGTATGCGTGCATTTGTACTGTCATTCAGGCTCCCCTGCACCGGTATATTCACTCACTAAACGTTTATTCATGCATCAGTTCACGCCTGAATGCCCACATCTATGATTAATTCATCCACCCATCCATCCACGCCTGTATCCTTCTGTGTTTCCATCCATCATCCATCTATTCACTCATCCACCCACCACATACCCATCCATCCATCCATGCACCGGTGAATTCGCCCACCTATCTAAACACACATGTATTTATGTGTGAATCCGTCCATCCCACCCGCACGCACTCCGCGGGCCCGGGCAGCCCCCGCCGGCCCCCTACCTCTCTCCAGGTCAAGCAGGTAGTTGGGGGCAAGCTCGATGGAGGAGCAGTTCCAGCGCATGTCCGAGAAGGCCCTGCGGCAGGCCTTCATGACCTCGCGGGCGGCGTGCACGACGGTGTGCATGAGCTCCAGGTTGCTGCGGCATAGCTGCACCTGCGCGGACACCAGGCCCTCCAGCTGCTTGCAGTGCTGCGTCTGGTTCAGCGCCAGGGCCGCCGGCGTCCTGGACAGCGCCCTGCACGCCACCCCACGGCAACAACCGAGGGAGGAAAGACGGGCCGTGAGGGGCCGCGTCCCCCCGCCCCAGCCTCTCCTCAGCGGGCTCTGGGAGCCTTTGCTGGAAGGAGCCAGGAAACCAGCAGGCAAAGAACTGTCCCCAGCAGAGCAATGTCCCCCTCCCACCCCGGTGTGACCTTGGGCACATCACGGTCCCTCTCTGGGCCCCCGGCCCTCATTCGTAACAGGATCACAACCTCCATCCTACCTAAGCTTTATTATAATTATACTAACAATAAATAGTTTTACAGTTCACAAAGCTCTCATATCCATCGCTTGATTTAGTTCTCACACAGCTGTGAATTATTACTCTTTACTCAACATTCATTCAGCACCGAGCACCTATATGTGCCAGACACTGTGCTAAGTGCTAGGTTATTCTAATCATTAGCACAACCATACATACGATTAATTGAGCACTCACTACACGCACGTGAGTGAGGAGCTTCCCATCATGGCTTCGTTTGATTATTAAACTCGTTCATTAGGCTGTAATGTCCCACATACACGCAAGGGACTGCCATGAAAGGATTAAGGAGCCACTCAATTTTGTGATAAATCTGACTTAGCCATTAACTTGCTGTGTGACCTGAGATAAATCACTGTCCCTGTCTGGGCCTCAGTGTCTGTACTCGGAAACTGTTTCCCAGAATGGGTCCCAGTGAGACACTTTGAAAAAAGGGACCCGTGGTCAAGCCCATTTGGGGAACATGATGTACCATGTGCCCCCCTTGGAGAGTAACAATGCACACTTACATTTTAAAGGCCCTGAGAAGTCCTGCAGCAAAGCGACAGGTTTGGTTTTGTTTAACTCTGGAGACTGCTGAGCACAAAGCCCTTTGTTCTGGAGCACTGACCTCATCGGTGCTTTGGGAAATGCTGGCCTAGGGAGTCTCTATGACGCCTGGAGATGTCATAGGACCTAAAAGCTTCCCAGATCCTGGCTCTGGGGACTGGGATGCCAAGACTCCAGGACCAGGGGTCCATCCTGGATCTGCCTTTCTCCCAGGCCTTCTCCAGGTACAGACGGCTTCAGGCAGTACCTCCTGTCAGCGCAGGCAAGCTCGAGAGACCCCACAGCCTTCAAGGCTTCCACAGAGACCTGCCCCTGCCCCGGAGCCAGCTGGCCCTCAGCAGAGAGCAGAGAGCTTGGGGGGGACGGGGGCAGGAGAGGCCATTCTGCAGCCACAAGTGCCGCGTGCCCTGCCTGCCATGCCCACAGCAGTCCCCACCCAGGTCAGGGCTAAGACTGGGTGAGGCCGAGATCTGGGGGGAGGCAGCCCGTTGCCAAGGGAACAGCACGACTCCCGGCTGGCTGTCACTCCCCTTGCGACCTTGAGCAAGTCACTAACCTCTCCTCTCCCAGCGACCCCCCAGCATCTCCTGAGGGACTAACTCAGACAGGGTGGTCCCTGCTTCGCCCGGGCTGACACGTGTGGTCGGCGCTCCGTGATGGAAGCCACCACGATTACCGCTGGGGCTGTCTTTCCCACCTGCGGGCAGCCTCCCGCACCCACTCGGTCATGGCCAAGCTGCCACCTGACATTCAAGGCCCCTCAAAACCCAAGGGTTTTTCTCCATGCCTTCTCCAGCCTTTTATCCTTTCCTCCCCGTGTTCTAACATCTGGCCACATCAGGCTCCTAGCTTCTCTGACTGCCCTCCCACCATGCCTTTGCCCAGGCTTTTCCTGATGCCAGGAATGCCCTTCCCCTGCTCCCGTACCTAAACGAGTAAATGAACTTGATCTATTTGCGGAAGGAAGATGTCTAAGCACCAGCTCTCCCCCAGACTCATTTGGTAATGAACATGACACAGATGCTCAACATTAACGGCTGCATAAACCTATCAACAGTCACAGGGCAATGACCCAGATGTTCCAGCTCACGGGCTGGCCCAGGGAAGGGCACAGGTTTCAGGCACCAGCTATGTGACCTGGGTAAGTCACCCAACCTCTCTGGGCCTCATAGTCCTCATTTGTTATAATTAATGATCATTTCTACTTCAAAAGGTGATGGCAAGGCTTAAATAAGATAATGTATGTAAAGTATTTGGAACATTCATGACTGGGATCCTCCTGCTTATTGCTGGGTGAATCTTGGACCAGAGGGAATCAGAAGATCTGGGTTCTAGCCCAAGCTTTGCCCTCTGTGTGCTGTGCAATCTTGGGCAAACTGCTGCCCCTCTCTGAGCATCAACTACAAAACGAGGACCCCAGAGGCCTGCAAGGGCTGAATGAGATACTACATGCTGCATCAAGTCCTAAGAGGTTAGTTGACTTCCTGCTGTCTCTCACTCACTGCCATGCCCCACCCATCCTACAACTCCACAGTAGGGAAATCTTCCCAGAGGCCTGGGAAGCAGACCCGGCGGCACGTGGGCATGGCCTGGTAGCCGCGGTTTGGGTGACGCAACCCAGCCTGCCTGAGATAGACTATGGGTGTCCCCGGCAGTCTCCCCTCATTGTGACCCCTGGCCCAGCCCCACCCCCAAACCGCGAGCAGGGGAACGTTTAGTGTCTCTGATGCTGGCGTCCAGCATGGGGCAGGCCGCAGAGCAGACCTCAGGCATGGTTTCTTGACCTAACCTGAACCATCCGGTCCACCCTGGCCTTCTGACCACCGAGGCCCGCCTACGCCAGGACCCCTTCTGGGGAGCCCATTGTCTGAATTCCTGCAGTCTGTGTGGGGTGAGCTGTGACCACACAGAGGCAGGGGCCGTCCCCTGGGTTGTCAGCCCCTCCACCCATCTCCCCCCAGTAAACACCGTCCACACGTGGGCTCCCACGAGGGCCCTGCACCCCCGTTGACAGAGCCGTTGACAGAGGGCATTGCACGCCTCATCCCCTCCTCACACCCCCAGAGGGACGGCCTGGGCGAGGTGACCATCCCTCTCTGTACAGAGGAGGACACTGAGGCGCTCCAGGGCCCGGGAGCTCCGCCTCTCCTGACCCGTCCTCCCCCGGACCTAGGTCCGCTCTCTGCTGGGCTGGGGGCCGTGCACACCCAGCCTGTCCCAAGCCCGCTCTGCCCTTCACCTCACCCAACTTCCCTCCTTCCCTCGGAGCCAGTTTCTGTTTCTCAGTGGGAGGATTACAGGAGACACACGAGACACCCCCGTGTGGTCCCAGGCACACGGCGGGCAGCGAGGCAGGGTGACTGCGTCCAGGCCCCTTCCCTGGGCTCCTGCTCAAGCCCAGAAGTGTGGTAACGTGGCAGAGCCATTCCTGGGGAGCTCAGTTTGGGCAATTCCTGACTGCCGGGTGCTGTGACTCCCAGGCGGGGTGCTCTGTGCTCCTGGTGCCTGGGGTCTCACTGCTGGGGGCCCCGGGCCACTCTGGGCTCAGTCCATCCATCTCTGGAGTCACCAAGCATCGGCTAATTCCAGCTGCTGGTGAAAGAAGGTGCTCTGGGGGAACCCCGGTGAGGATACCCCAAGATGAGGCTCCGACTGCCCAGGTGGGTGGAGGACAAACAGGAAGCATCTGGAGGCCCCTGGAGGGACAGGAGCGGCCTGTGTGGGGTGGAGGAGGCCCCAGTGCCGTGTGCCGGGGAGGCCGGCGCTCGGGAGGGAGCGCGCAGGCCGGGAGGTGAGGAGGCGGGAGGCTGCGGTTCCACTCCTGAGGAGGGCCGTGCGGTCATCTGGTAATTAGTGGTAATGACCGTTTCTAAGTAAGTCCCCCCCGGGAGGTAATCAAGGATTAGGGTGGGAGGCGGGGGAGTCACCCGTCTGGACATCTCGTGGGCCTGCCTCCCTGCAGCAGACCCCTAATTGAAAACATTTTGGTTTATCTGGGGGTGAGGGCACGGGGGAGAGGGTGGATGAGAGGACAGGAGGGGACAGAGAGTTCACAGGCGAGGCCTGTGCCAAGGGCTCTGCTGGGGGGGCTGAAGTCTCCCCGACTCAGGAGCTGGGGGCTCTTCTGGGACCAGCTGGAGGGCAGAGACCTGGGTTCCAGTTCCAGCTCGGCCACTCACCTGAGATGCGACCTCGGGCAAGTCACTGCCCCTCGCCAGCCTCAGTTTCCCCATCCCATTGTGCAAGTGGGGACAATGGGGCACAGATTAGGGCAGGACCCGCCTAGACTTGAACACAGCTGGATCCCAGGCGAGGACTCTTTCCCTTCCATTTTAGAGATGAGGAAAGTGAGGCTCAGAGAGGCAAAAGCAATTGATCTGCCCGCGGCCTGGATTGGGCCAGTGACGGGGCAGAGCTCAGGCTGGGACCCAGGTCCCCCAGCTCAGGTATGCTGCTACTTCCACCTGCTCTGCAGCAGCCGTGTCCCTTCTGGAGTCTCCTGGGACTCTTCCTTGGGAGACCTGGCCCCTGAGTGGGCAGCAGGCCTGGGGCAGCCCAGAGAGGCTGGGGCCGCCTTTATGGGCGCTCCCCCACCTAAGGCAGCCAGAGAACGGGGTGAATGGCCCAGCTGGGTCCCTGACACTCTCTGGTCTGACAGTCGCCCAGCACCTGGCCTGGGTGGGAAGTGAGGAAGAGGAGGGGTCCCCCGGGTTATTTCTGGTCAGGGGCTTCCACGGGCAGCCGGCTCTGACTCCCTCTCTCTGACCCCCATGCCACCAGGAAGCTCAGGCTGCGTCCTGGGTCCCCAACAGGTGGGCACTATGGGTCACTCAGCCACATCTGGTTTCAGTTCCACGTCAAATGCCCCCTTCATCTTCAGCTCACTTTCCAAGGCCCAGGGCAGCAGCCCCTGGGTCACTCCTACCCAGCGACAACCCCAGGACAGCCGAGCCTCCTGGATGCGTCCCCAGCCTCCCACCTGCACTGTACACTGACGGCCCTGTTGCCAACTGTCCTGTGGCTCCCTGCGACCAACAGGCCACAGTGCCAGACAGCTGACTCCAGATCCTGCCTCTGCTGCCTACTAGCTGTGACACTGTTAGTCAGAGATCCCCCGTGCCTCCACTTCCTCTTCTGGTTAATGGGGGCGATAGCAGAACCCCCCTCACAGGGTGATTCGGAGATTTAAACGAAACAATGCACATAAAGCACTTAGAACAGTGCCTGACCTGTAGCATATGCATATACAGACATACACATATTTACACACACACACACACACACACACACACACACACCGTTGTTCTTAAGCTCCACTCCCTCTCCTGCTTCCCCCACTATCTTCAGCTCCAGCAAGAGTTTAACCACTATCACGAAGTTTGGCTTCATGGAGCCCGTCTGCCTGGGCTCTGATCCCACAGCCGCCATTAACTAGCTGTGCGACCTTGGGCCAGCTACTTAACCTCTCTGTACCTTAGTTTCCTCATTTGCAAAATGGTAGTGATAAGAATATCACCTCCCTCCTAGGAGTAGTATCAAAACTAAGTGACTACAGCTCTTGGAACATTGTCCAGGATCTACCAGGAGGCTCCTGGATCCCCGGGTTCTGCTTTCCCCTCTAGGCTTTCGGCCCTGCTGTTCCTCCCGCCTACGACGCCTGCCTGCATTTCCTTCTTGGCCTTCAAAATCCTACCTATCCTTCAGAGCCCAGCCCAACGTCACCTCCCCCAGGCGGGACAAACTGCTCCTCCTCTGGGCTCCCACACTCCCTCTCCTAGGACACAGCCCAAAGTCCACTTTGTATTCTTTACACGTCTGTCTCTCCTGAGAGGCTAGGAGCGCCTTTAAGGCAGACCCCGAGCTGCACCCACTTCTTGGGCAGCCTGGGCCGTGCAGTGGGGACAGCATGGACGCTGGGCTTAGCTAGCTGTCTGTTCCAGGCCCAACCGGGCCACATGCCAGCGCAGGGGCTTGTGCAAGTCACACACTTCTCAGAGCCTCAGTGTTCCCCGTGTGGCACGCGAATGTCAGCAGTGTCCCCCCAGGGCTCTAGGAGCAAGCCCACTTCTCGGCTCTGATGCTGCTGGTGCTCTTAGCAAATCCTCTCCCTCTCTGGTCATCGGTTTCCTTATCCGCACAATGGTGGTGGTGGGCAAGGAGGGTGTGGACTCCCTGATCAGAGGTTCCCACCAGCTGGGACAGGGCCAGGACCAGCGGTGGGTGGAAGGAAGGTGGTTGGTTTCTCACAAAACTCATCAGGAGCAGCCGAGAAGAGCTGGAGCCCCAGGGCTGAGAGGCCGCTGAGCCGGGGCTTCCCCTTACAAAGAAGAAAGGCGAGAAGACGGGGCTCCCTCTTGAATCACCAATTAATCGATAACTCAGCCCCACAAGGGGCAGGGCTGGTGACCTCCAGACTGTTTGCTGGTGGCCAACCCACTATCGCCCTGTCTTCCAGCTAATCCAGGGACCTAACTCACAGCTCCCCCCCAGCCCCCACAATCTGCCTCACCCCCCC